ATTATGCTCGTTCAATTCCTATTTTGCTACTAAAAATAGAAACAATATAAAAATAAAATAAAAAGTTCACTTCATTTTACACGACAAGGTGAACAATCATCGAAAAAGTGTATATGCGGATGAGAATGACATCAGTGCTATATGATAGCCGTGTCTCACAAATTACAATTAAGCAGTGCCAATAATACCTATCCAGGGGTTAGTAAGCTAGCCCGTCTCGCTAGTATAGACTAGCAAAGAAGACAGAGGTCAGACATAATCATGCCTATTTCTGAACACAGCAAGGGTGTGATCTATAGTAGTGAGCTAATGTAGTGAGCTATGGTGATGGCACATTTATTCGTGCTTTCTTTTTTATGTATTGTCATCGAGTGGAGCCAAAGGCGTTTTTTGACATCGCTTGGCTGCCCGAGACTGCACACATTTGTACAAAACATGGGAGTGCACAGCAGTATACTTCCTTCGTACTTTGCGACGTTGAACTTAAAAATTGTCAAATGGTTCATGAAAGAGTACCTAAAATATCAAATATGTAAAAAGCTTTCTTGAAATATTTTTTATCTTATTATTTGTATTTGATGTGTACAGCAATAATGGGCCTCCATTCTTAATGCATATTCCAAAGCTGAAATTCTTTCTCTTAAAGGGGCGCTCGGGAGCTTTCTAAGATGGCCTATTTATGGCCGTAACATATTATATGAGCTCTAAGCATCCCAAAAATTTAAAGTTACAATCATGTGCAGCTTATTTCACTAATAAAAATGTGCCAAAAAATAGTGAATCTCAGACGTACAGATGGTGCCATTGAACCCGGCCGAATGTAGGCGAACAACTAACGGGGCTCATCAGACAATCACAAGCGATGGCTTGACGACCGGACAAGCAGCCGTTCAGTCCTGCTCGTCTTAACGGGAAGCCGTCGCTTGCAATTGACTGACGAATATCTTTCGCCGTTCCACCCTATTCGCCTTGATTCGGTTCAACCACGTTCGCTATCTCTGATCACATTTTATTTTAATATTGAAATAAGCCGCACATGATCGTGAGTTTTGAACTTTTGCGATGCTAAGAGCACATAGGTTGAGTTAGGAACATACATAAGCCATCCTGGAATACCAGGGAGGGCCCTTTTAATTTTTTTTATTTATATATATATATATAGTGAAACAAAGCAGGAATATCATTGCAGAAGAAAGTGGAGAGCCCATTTGTGTTGCCTGTATTTTTCCACTTTTTGTGCATTTGCTTTACAACGTTACTCACTGCAGATTCATCTTGAAATTTGGCATCAAAATGCGAGAGGCAGCATTTACACACACCGTGGAAAAGGCTGCCACCACTGAACGCGATCTCAGAATGGTCAGCTGATCACTATAGGAGCCTGCGGAGATTTTTGACAAGAGTGTGTCGGGGCAAGACTGCAGGCGTCTCCCTTAGGAGGGCGTGGTGGGAAAGAAGCCCCTAACACGGGAAAAAATTGACGCTTTGACAGGTCGGTATTTCTGATCAGCCTGAAAGGGCAGCACATAATCTGTTGTGGCTGTGCTGTGCTTAGCACTGCACATAGTGTGTGTATAGTGTGAGTTATAATTTACTATGATTTGAGATATTTCTTGAGCCTATTGTTGGTTTTGCCATGTGCAGCAGACATGCGCAGTCAGTGACACTAAGAGGTGAGATAAGGTGAATGCGGGCAGACCAGGAGAAATGCCGCGTGGGGTGCAGCGCTTTCTTTGCACACCGGGAGCGAGGACACGACGTCCGATCTACAGTCGAAAATGATAATATCGAATCCGGTTCATTCAAACTGTTTGTAAATGGACTGGTAGCTGCAATAAAAATGCATAGCGCAAAATAATATTACATCGAACGAAAATGGCAGCGTCTCCCCATAGATCGATCTGCGAAGAGCGCAATTTAGTTCTACAAGGTGGCTTTTCCCTGGTAGGGGATATTCCCTGGGAGAAAGCCAGCTCGCAGAGAAAGCTGCCTTTTTTTCTTTCGCTTGAACGGCCGCGTCGACCGCCCAAAAGAAAAAAAAAAAAAAAGAATAATCTCTTTTTCGGGCGGAGAGGGTGAGCCGGTACACGAAAAGAGGCCACTAAATAGCTTCGTTGAGCGTCCCTAATGACGCACAGATTCCCCCTTCGAGAGCAAACTACTTTTCTAAATGTGGCGTGCTTGTTCCTTGTCAAATTCATTAAAACTTTTATAGAGAATTGCTCGCTATATCGAAGTGGTAGACGATATTTTGCGGGTTTGATATAATCGGGCTTGACTGCATTATGTTTCTCACAGGTAGGGGAAAGAAGATTAAACGCTTGAGGGCAGCCGAGTGAAAATTGACTGATTATCAGGCTGGACACGACAGAACTTCCCTGTTTACTGTTGTAGCCGTGATTTTATTATTTTAAGTTTTTTCTTATGGATAACTGCTCGTGTATTTGTTTATGCACTGTAGGTTTTATCATAGAATACGAACGTGCCCATGCCATCATCTTAGCCATCCAGATGTGCTGGCAAAAACTGCATGAAAGAAAAGAGTCATGCCCGAAGGAAAAATCCATCAATGTTTTCTAGTGGACCGCTGACTGTGCCTGACTGTACGTCAAGCATGTCTGATTGGCCAACAAGTTACTCTGACCGACAGTCAAACTCCACTCAGACTCTTCTTGTCGGCTTTCTGATGGTTTCCTGGTGGCAGTCGGCCGCCGCAAAATGCCATCAAGATTGCCTCTGACTGTACGTCAAAAAGCTTTGACGTGCAGACAGACGTACGGTCAACGGACGTAAAGTTCGTTCCGATACCACTATTTCGTCAAATCTATGAATAAGAAAAATAATCTATGCACGAAAAAAAAAACGATTTCGGAACGTGAGCCCATAAAACCGCTGATGTTAGAGATATGACACGCAGCCGACCGACAACCATGATCAGAAGCCCGCCTAAACGCCGAACACGCCACTTCGCTTCGCCCATAGAGGCTTCGCCGAGCTTTCATGAACGATCGCTCTCGACTCGTTTTGTTTGCCCGCTTGCTCCAACCTGTCGATCCTGCCCGGGCTCTACAATGTCTTATGTTTTAGCAGAATTTCTACTCGACAAGACCCAGCCTGTTGTGAGTTCTGACGATGTAAGGGACTTTAGCGGTGTAGTTGAAAACGACAAAGTGTACTGGGCCGGAGACGCGCGAACAAAAAGATCGTTCTACGACGCGAAAGTACTCTACATGGCAGGTGAGTAGAACTGAAGTACAGCGAGTGATGTACAAGTGCTTTGCATAAGATGTTGACGGCTTAACTGAATTTGCAGCCGAAGCACCTCGTATAAAACGAATGGTCAAATCGAGTTTCTCAAGCGATGGCATAGCATAGGGGTTAAGGTGTCCGATTTGTGCGCAAGTAGTCACGATTTCGAACCGCGGTGGTCCTGCTTTTTTTTTTTTTTTCTCGGACATTTTGCTTTATGGAGGCATTTGGCGATATTTATGAGTGCATATAGCTTTACTCTTATATAAATGCTGCCCTTGTTGATGAAATTCCCTTGGCAGTGGCAGTCAGACGTCATCTGATGGACCATCAGATGACGTCTGATGGTCCATCACGTTCTACCAAGGCTGCTGACTGGCAGTCAGTGTCCCAAATTACGTATCGTGATGAAATTTTTAATAGGGTGGACAGCCCTGTCTGCAAGGGAATGTGGGCGAGTGGTGCGTGTTGGAAACAAAATGAAATAGTAAGTTTCATTCTCTTTGTCTTTGTAGTTTTGTTTCATGACAAAATGAACACCTAAACCTTTGAAAAATTGGTGTTATTTTTGCACAATTTGCTAGCTGTTGTCATCAGCACACCTTTCTGCATCTTAATTATATTGTGCATGTATGAGCAGCTCACCCCAGAAGACACTAGATGGGTCGGGTCACATCAGAACACACTTGACAGGGTCACGTCAAGACATCAGAACACGTCAAGACACCGGACCACGCAAAGACTCTAGAACACGTCAAGACACCAGAACACTCCAAGATCCGTGTCTGAATTTCCGCTCTGGTGTAAACGTCAGAAACGCAACAGTCCAGGGCTGGTGGATTTTTCAATAGGCAATATAAATGAAAGAAACTCGACAACCGAGCAGTCTGTTTTTTTATGAAGGCATTTAGTCATTATCCTGTCATTAGAACCACATTTATAGCCCTGATAACGAAAAAATGAACAGTAAAAAGATACAACAGCTGTATTTACGAGATCTGTCCAAGATATTCTGGATGAAAAATGGCAACGACAGGGGTTGCAAACGCCTTTTTTGTAAGTATTTTAGAATTTCGAACACAAACATCTCGCCACTGGTGTTCACGCATCTTTGAAACCGAAATTCCTATGCAAAAAGGCAATTGTTGTTTATTTTCTACATGTTTAGGTTTGACTTTCATTCGGTTAATTTCTAGCTTTGGAGAACTACCGCTCAAAGGACGGACCGACTATGCCCTAAAAACAAAAACAACATGTGGCTCCACCCCCAGACAAGTATATGAATTTCCGCGAGAAAAAGCCCGCGCATCAGTGGGAGGCTCAGGTGCTATGTAAGTTGTATTAATCATGCAAAAAGAAGAGAACACTTTAGCCTTGTGTTATATTATTTGTCCAGATATTATCAACCTGCAGTGAAAAGCCAGATGAGGTTGTAGAATCAACTTTGGGGACCGGTGCATCAAAGGGCATCCTGAACGCCAGGAACGAAACAACCAGCCACCCTAGCACCAATGTCTCGTCGACAAAACGTTTCTATCGCTAGTTCCACCTCTGATTTCGGGGCGCGTCCAAATCTCCTTCTCGCTTGTTACTCAGTAGTTTCAACCCACATTACCCAGGACTGTACATGTTTGTGATGCCGAATGGTAATTCTAAATCAGAAAGAAAACGGTTAAAATGTACTAAATGTTTTTAACATCGAAATGGTCTGCTTCCTAAAACAGTGTTTTGCATTGACGAAAACAAATTACCTGCCATTACTGCAAGAGCTGTGGATGCTGGAATCTTCATATTGGCTTGGGTACGTCTTCGTAGAACATACAGAATTCATTGTTCTACTTCACTTTTATACGTCGGTGGTTGGAATGTATGGAGCGCAGTTGTCAGTAAACAATGTGAAAGAGTCAATCTCAAGGATGAATATTATTGTTTACAGGCTTTATTTTCTGCCACTAAATTCGAACGTAACGAAAGGTAGCAACCAATGACGACCCTCAAGCAGAGCCAGAAATGCAACGTCACCCGCTTCGTCGTCTTTCAGTGCGTATAACACCACCTGCTAAACCGATCATGCGCATCATAGGCGCCTTCTCCTTAGAAGTTCAGTTTTGCGCTTGGGCTCGTGCGTCTTCCAGCTTTGGTTGTGCTCTGACTTAAAGCTGTAAAAAATCTCAAGTTTCAGATTGTCTTGTCTCTAACCTGCTTTTGATTGACAATCATATGGAATGACAGGGGACCTTTCAAGTAACCTTTACATTCCTAACGGCCTACATGTTTTCCCTCATATGTCCCTGATTCTTATGCTCAAAAAAAAAAATTTAAAAATGACAGAGATCATTTGGTATTTTTTGTTGAGCTCTCTTATCGCATAATTGAAATTATTTTGTATACACATTTGTATTTTATTTCTTTGTATGATAATATATTTGCGAATTCAGAAGACTAAATGTCACCCATCATCAAAAACCTGAATCTTAGATATCGACGCTTGTGCCTGCCGAAATCGACTGCGAAACTTTCCGCGGACGGTTGTCGAAAGTAAAACCGAGAAACGAAGATGGAACTATTGCTGTTTGAGTAGAGGATATGAATATGTTTTTATTGCTTTATTGCGTCATATGTAAACGAGGTTTAAATTATGTCTGAATCAAAATTGTTCGTGCGGAATGTATTTTTATGTTTGCACTCGACGTGGCCACATTTTCAGCTTATAACGACAAACATCTACTGACAAGAATAATCCAGTTGACATGTTCATCCAAACACCAGACTACCAGGTATGGAGCATTCTTAGCACGCATTGCCATATTCAAGCTCTCATCACACCTTGTGTATCTGTGTGTTAATTTAAGTGTCTACTAAAACCGCTCGTGGAGTGAAATGCCGATGAAGAATTGGAAAACATATGTAAGGAACAAGAATAATTTTACCTAAGCGTGTGTATCATTGTGTACATATCGCCGTGTTGCGGTCATTCTACATTTGCTTACTTACAGTTATCTCTATGTTTATGTTTCTTAAGCTCTTGCTCTGCTGTTGCAGTTTGAGCTGATTAATACTCGCATTGTAGTATAAACTATCCGAGGTCTTGTCTGGTTTAGAGCCACTAAATTAACTACGTTTGGAGTATCGGCGATTTATTTACCAAGTTTCTTTTGTCAGCTGCTATTTCGGCGCGTAATGCAGAGCGGGTGCTGTGGGTCGTGGCTACAATTTAAAAAAGTACGACTACCTGCGCTTGAGTTACTGTGTCGGAAAGCTCAGGGAATAGCTATTTGCTTTACCATGCTGTCACAATTTTTTAGAAGAAAAAGCATTCCTGGTGTAGTTCACATAAAGTTCGAGAAAACAGGCAAGAATGATTTGAAGCGCCATGATGGCTGACATGCCGTTACTTAGAAGCGTAGCTATTTTAAGCCTCTACTCAAGCCATCTGAACCTTTCATTTTAATTAGTTTGTATTTAAATACTGGGGCTAGGGTAACACGGCAAAAAGACGGTTATCGGTGGCAGATTGGCCTTGCGCACGCCATCCCGGAGTACATGGAGCGAAAACTCGCACTGCAGAACCCAGGAACCTGGGCTAAATCTTCACCCCTACCCGTCTCGATCTGGATGAGCATTGTAACGGCGTGCGGTACTGTATCACTACCGCGCGATGCACGCTAAAGACCTTAGGCTAGTGGTTGTACTGCACCGGCGAAATTGTTCATCCATAGCTGAGAGGACAATTCGCTTGTTGAAGGTAGGCTAGTTTCAACGTTGTGCAAACGTACCCACAACCAATTTGTCAAGTGCAAGAAGCAATTCGATTTTGCCTGACGTGGCCCTATCACCCGATTACACTGCTTTTCAGGCGCAAAAAAAAAAACAATATTAATAAAAGAAGTACGAGAATACGTGTGGTCGGCCGGCGGAAAGATTTTTGCGCGCAAAAATTAAAATGATGAAGCAGTTCAAATCGTGTGCCTTGATGACGTTGCGAAAATCGCAAACTAAAAAAAAAAAAAAAGAAAAAAGTTGAGCCATCGTCTGAAATAGTAACCACGAAGTTTTAATGGCTGATACTTCGCCTACATGCAAATATGTCGATCGCTCATCTTTAACGAGGAATTCCAATGCTCTGAACCAAACTTTTCTGTGATGCATCTAAATGCGAGAAGCATAAAAAATAAGGAAGATAATCTTAACGACTTTGTTTCTTCCCTTTGCGTAAAATTCGATGTTCTCTTGTTCACAGAAACATGGCTATCAGCAAATGACGCAGCCCCAAATATTCAAGATTACAAGTATGACGGACTTGTCAGGGATAAACGGAAAGGCGGAGGTGTGGCCATTTACACGAAACATAGTATATCGTATGAAGTTGTTGACGATTTCTGCAAACTTGATATAAACATAGAATGCATGACAATTATAATCAAGAACACAGTTATTGCCGTAGTGTACCGCCCACCTTCGGGCAGCATGTCAGCTTTTTTTGAATTCATAGAAGAACTACTACGTTATGTGGGTTCAACCGGTGCCCCACTTATGATACTTTGAGACGTTAACATAAACATAACTTCTCAAGATTCAGACGCGAGAGACTTTAGTGACCTTTTAACCCAATATGCTTGTGTAAATCTGATCACGATACCTACTAGAGTGACTGCTGAAACTGCGACTACGCTTGATATCTGTCTAACTAATTTAGAAGAAAAGGATACTACGTCAGGTGTCTTCACTGAGAATATTAGTGACCATCTGCCTATTTATTGTTTAAGCTCCGTTTCTAAAAGGAAACGAAACAACACAAACGAGCCATACTTTTGTAGGGAAATAAACTCGGAATCTTTAGAGAAGTTCTATAGTCTCATAGAAAAAGCAGACTGGAATGCCGCATGTTCAGAGGGCAGTGCTGATTTAGCCTACTCAATTTTCTTTAATAAGTTCAAAAAGTGTTATGATGAAGCGTTTCCCCTTAAAACAGCAAACCCCAAGAAAAAAGAACAGAGGAAGCCATGGATCACTTCTGATATGTATAAACGAATAAGTGATAAGAACAAAACGTATCATGCATTCATTCAGACTCGTGATATAAAACTGCTACATGAATTCAAAAAGAAAAGAAACAAGCTGAACTCCGAGTTAAAAAAAGCCAAACGTATGTACTATCAGAGCAAATTCGAAAATTCGAGTGTATATATGACGACCAACGTAAGATATGGGAAACAATAAACGACATGTCAAACAGAAAGCAAAAAGACAGCCGTATAGAAGAATTTTTGTTGCAAGATAAGATTGTAACCGGCAAAGAAGCCGCAGATAAGATGAATCAGCATTTTATAAATGTAGGGGCGTACCCACTAGTACAGATAAACAGTGTTGTCGAAAATGTGAATATAGATAGCCTCACGGATTCTATAATGTTGGTCCCGGTATCAACTTCAGAAATTGATGAAATCATAAAAAAATCTAAAAAATGATTCGGCGGCCGGTGAAGATGACATTAAGCCCCGACCTATAAAATATGTAGCCTCGATAATAACTCCGGTCCTGTCTAACTTAGCAAATAAAATGTTACAAAGCGGAATTTTTCCAAACAAACTTAAAATTGCCAGAATTCATCCTGTCTACAAAGGAGGGGGAGTAAACAACATAAACAACTATAGACCAATTTCTATTTTATCTATATTTTCAAAAAATTTCAAAACTACTATAAAGAATAGGTTGGAATGTTTTTTTAATAAGCACAAAGTTATAACGTCTTCACAATATGGATTCCAAAAGCATAAATCTACGGAGCAAGCTCTTCTAGATATCAAAGACAAAATAATTGCGAATATTGAAAGTAAATTATATACTCTCGGGCTTTTCCTGGACCTAAGAAAAGCATTCGACACTGTGCAGCACGAAATATTATTGCGTAAACTAGGTAGGTACGGTATACGTGGAATCGCACAAAAACTAGTAAAAAGTTATTTAACCGATCGATATCAATATGTAACAATTAATAAGATATCCTCCTCCCACTTAAATATACAACATGGTGTTCCCCAGGGATCAATCTTAGGCCCCTTATTATTTTTAATATATATAAATGATCTGACAAAAATATCTGGACCTCAGGAAGTAATCATGTATGCTGATGATTCTAATATATTCTTTAGTGGAAAAACAAAACAAAGTATTGAGCTAGCCGCAAACTCATATATCTTAAAACTGTCAGAATGGCTTCAAGGAAATAGACTGCAATTAAACTAAAACAAAACAAAATACGTAATTTTTAAACCAGTAAATAAACGGGACGCCGATAGTATAAGTATCAAATTTGAAGGTTTAGAACTGGAGCAAGTACGCGAGCAAAAATTTCTTGGTGTTTGGTTTAGTGAGGAATTGTCATGGAGTGCTCATATAAACAAGTTAAAAGCTGACCTTTCCAGAATTATAGGCAATTTGTATAAAATCAGAAATTGTATCCCATGTTGGCTGCTTAAGAATATGTATCACTCATTGGTTCTTTCAAAATTAAGCTACGCAATTTTGGTCTGGGGGACAACAACATCCTCAAACTATAATAAATTAATGGTCCTCCAAAAAAGAATTTTACGTATGTTCGAGGACTAGAAGGGGGATTACAGGAATCTACGTACGGAACCTTTGTTTTTAAAACATCGCATGTTTAGGGCAAATCAAATATATTACTTTAAATTGCTTCAATTAATCCACAGGAATAGAACCTACTTAGCGCTAGAAAGTGAACTTACACCAGTGAACGATATTCGACGACCGAAACGTAAAGTACCTAT